ATCATTATATATATGTAATTTTTTGTTTCTGACAATGTTATTCCAAAATTACTTTCTATCAAAATGTTTTATGCCTTTTTTTTTACCGTCCCTTTCCCATTTTTACTTTTTCATTTTTCTCTTTCATTTTAGTTTTATCACCATATTCCCTCTGTTCTCACACTATTTTCCTATCCTTCCAAATCTCTCAGCTCTGACCCCACATGGGACGTCTCCCTCTCCAAAATCCAATAACCCCTTCCTCACTCCCCTACCACCTACACCGATAAGGACAAAACAGCCTAATTTTTTAATCTAAGTTTATTTTGACAAGAAGTTTCCCACGGCGAGAAATCAAACAGAGATTGGGTTTTTACTAATAACATATACAAAAGGACAACAGTATGTGAGTCTTCCCCGTTTCTCTGTTTATTTCTCACACCGTTGATGAAGGACACAGGCGTGTCCGAAAATTCCGGACTTATAACCTTAATTTCCGTCCTTCAGTTTTGTCTTGTGATTAATAATTAATATTTAATAAATATTTTTCGTACTGATCACATAACTACCCTTTCGTTTGCCCTTGTTTTATTAACCAACCTACCTATTTTACAATTATATCTATACGTAGGAATATGTACATCATTATGTATATATGCATGTATGTACCTATATATCATTATATATAATTATGTATATATATATATATATATACATACATATATGTGTAAGTAGAAATAGAAATATATATATATATGGATTTAAATTATATATGTATATATATATATATGTAATTTAAAGATACATACATACACACACACACACACACACATATATATATATATATATATATATATATATATATAAAAAATTAATGGATATATTTTAATGTGACATTTATTACTTCAAATGTTATTATAATGGATACTGCATTTGAAATAGATCCTATATATATATATATATATATATATATATATATATATATATATATATATATATATATATATATATCGTAGATTCAGATACATAGAGGTAATGTAATAAAGTTGGAAAGTTAGAGAGAAAAGTGGAAGAAAAGAGTAAGAAGTGATAGGTAGATGCACAGATCGTAAATGTTAGATAGATAGATAGATAGATAGTTAGATAGATAGATAGATAGATAGATAGATAGATAGATAGATAATGGTAAACAAATCTAGACAGATATTCCGAGTTTCACAATCTTCCCACAATGCAATAAAAGAGTCTGTAATCTTTATGGTTCTGGCATCTCGACTTCAATCAATTTCACACCGTCGTGGCGCGTCTTCCGTTTCTCTTTTCTGTAAATATTTTCATGACAGTTATTCTAATGTCCCACCATCTTGGGTTTTCGACCGCATGGATTTAAGCATTCTTACTAGATTGTGAGGGATTCTCTTCCGCTTTCTTGCTTTCCAATCACCTACAATCTTCAAAAGTTTAAATGCAACATCAGTCGTCATCTTCCTTAATGCAGTTTTTTTCATTGCTTCTTTATCCACACCAGTCTTATCCTCTTCCACATCCATTAAATGCCTACATCTTAGTGGCATTATCGACTTGCTTGGGGCGAAATAACAAAATCACATTTGGACGAAAGTAAAATATGAATTGTTAATGACACCACGAATTCACGACTAACATGAAAATTCTTATTTCGACATTGAATGTATGTATTTAACATTAAGCCGCCCACTGTCCTTCTACACGTAGAGATTGATGTCAAGTTCTTTGCAGGTCACATTGGAGTCTTTGTAGTTTCTGATGCTGATGGATTATGTAGGCTTTAACTATACCTGTTTTGAGAATCATGTCAGAAAAGCAAGGGAGATCAAAGATCGTATCTTGCTAGTGTATCGATCGATTAGATTAATCTCGGTTTAAGGACAGACAAATGGTGTTACTAACCCGACAATATGAATAGACTTAAATAGATAAATAATACAAACACTAGCAATGCTGTAACTTGTAGATCGATATGAAGAAAAGACATATAACTATGGATTAAATACTAGTAGAGATGCCGTGTGATAAACTGCTGTGTAGGTTAATTTATTCCAGATAATATTGGTTCAAATAATTAACAAGACAGAAAACATATACCTTCAGTAAGGCCGATGTCACAAATTTGCAGCAGCTTCCTTCCTGTGTCTGATATAAACATTGTGTCATCTGCATATCTTAACATTTACCGCACTGCAGACGACAATAATCACCGTAGAATTATCTCCCTTTACTACTCTCGGCACATTCTGTCGCCTTGAGACGGTTACTACAAATAAACACTTGTTAAGTGTTATTTCCGGTATTTTAAGCTGCTTTGGAACAAGGCTAAACTTCCGTTTTACAACGCCATTTTGAATTCTAAACACAAGGAATCACTTCACTTTTTTGACGAAAAGAAAACCTTCTCAGCAATTTTACTTCTTATTGCACCCCCAGAACTCCACAAGGAATAATAAAAGTTAAAGTAAGTTGAATTATTTATTTATTTTTTTAATGTATTTGTTTATTTGGAGTTTTTTTGTTTTTTTTTTGGAGGGGGGTTGTTTTCAAGGTCAAAGCATGCATGCAAAACCTAATGCATTACATAATGCATTATATCAAAATATTAGTGTACACAAATTAAAATCTATACGCATAGTACAAAGAAAGTTGTAACAATTTTACAACAGGAAGGTGTTCATGTTTTTGAACTCTCAAAAAATAGTGGTAGGGGAGACAACTCTAGAAAGAAATTAGCGTGGTAAAGGTTAAGTTGGTAAGATTACGTTCGCCGTTAATGAAACCTGGTAGTTCTTGGAGTTCACGCCTCACTTTTCAGGTTGCAAAAAAATGAGGTGAGAAGACACATCCTGTTTATATGTTCGTTTCTAGTTTCATGTAAATTATTGAAGCTATTTTGGTCATATTACGATGATGATTGACATATTCATAACTTCTTATGATAATGATGCAAATAAACAACGAAATATTAATAAATGCACTCATGTCGGTTTCTTTTTAACCAAATAATATTTTTTAATCCTTTCACTACAAGCAAGGCGACAATATCACTAGAGCGCGGGTGGTGGGGGTGCAGAGAGTGAAAGTGAAAGTGAAGTCGAGGGCATCAGTGAATAGGATTGAGAAAAGGACAGAAAACGAAACAGTGTTATAAAAAAAAGGAAAAAACAGAAGATAGTGATTGACGTTGCATTTACATTTTTAAAGATTGTTGTTATCAGGGAAGCAAGAAATCTGAAGGGAACTCCACAGGTTGGAAGTGCGAGGAAAGAAACTTTTAGAGTAGAAGTGGCGGTTGTATCTCACTAGTTCAGCAGTAAATGTTTAAATTGATGTAGTCGGGGCACCGGTGGGAAAAAAAAGGGCACCAGAACAGAGGGAAGCCATCTCACTTAAATAACACTTAACAAGTGTTTATTTGTAGTAACCGTCTAAAGGCGACAGAATGGAAGGGAGATAATTCTACGGTGATTATTGTTATTAAGAAGAAGAAGAAGAAGAAGAAGAAAATAATAATAATAATAATGACATTATGGAATGAAATAAAAATATACAGCACGAAGCTTTTGCCAGGTCCCCCACTGGGCGAAGGAAAAGAGCAATACTTGTTCAGATGTATGAGTGGGGGGAAGAATTCGTAGAAAAAATAAGATAAGAAGGCGACTATGTCATCAGTAACGAAAGGCATAGGATCGTTAATGACATTCTTCTTAGATTCTAATCTCGGTTGTAGTAAAGAAACGCGATTACTTTCCAAGTGATAGTAAAAGCAATGTGGATTGCATTCTTTTTTAGCCTAATATCGGATCCAATGAAAAATATGGTTCCTTTTCAAACGGTAGTGAATATCACTAAGAACGATAGTCATATTTTCTTTGATCCTAATACTGGATCCAATAATGAAATGTCTGGTTCCTTTCCAAACGATAGTGAATTACACTGAGGACGAAATTCTCTTTGATCCTAATACTGGATCCAATAATGAAATGTCTCGTTCCTTTCCAAACGATAGTGAATTACACTGAGGACGAAATTCTCTTTGATCCTAATACTGGATCCAATAATGAAATGTCTCGTTCCTTTCCAAACGATAGTGAATTACACTGAGGACGAAATTCTCTTTGATCCTAATACTGGATCCAATAATGAAATGTCTCGTTCCTTTCCAAACGATATTGAATTACACTGAGGACGAAATTCTCTTTGATCCTAATACTGGATCCAATAATGAAATGTCTCGTTCCTTTCCAAACGACAGTGCATTTCACTGACGATGACATTCTCTCTGATTCTAATATTGGACCCAATAATGAAATGTCTGGTTTCTTTCTAATCGATAAGGAATTTCAGTGAGGATGGCATTGTCTTTGATCGTATGATAGGGCTTAATAATGAAATCCCTGATTCCTTTCCTAATGATAGTGAATTTCACTGATGAGGACATTGTGTCTGATCCCTACATTAGATCCATAATTGCTTACTAGCTCTGAAATGTCATGCATTGTTGGAAAAGAAAAATGATGGATTCGTTTCTCGCTGCCTTCTACATGGTTTAGAATTCTGAAATTTCCTCGCTTTTGACTGGTAACCTCGTCTAATCTGAGTGTTTAGAAGAGATGGAGCTATGATTTTCCTAAGGAAGTTTGTACGAAACTGATCCTCAAAAGACTCACCTAGAATTTGAACTCGGCGCTATTGATTCCATTTTAACTGATAGCACTTTTATTACCCGCACATCCAATTTTTGTCATTAAATTGTCTGTTTTGGGTTTTTTTTTTAATTTATATGAATATGTAAACTTATCTTCTGTTTTCAGATGTATGTTTGCAAAGTTTCTCGGCGAAATTAAGCAATTATCATTTTTTTTTTGTTGTTGTTGTTTTTGAGAGTCTTAAATGTTTTGTGAAAAGAAAACAAAATCAACCTTAATTAGCTGTTAAAATAGCAGCAGACATTGTCGGCAATGAGTCATTGGTTTTACTTTCTACATTCTATGTCCCCACCCCACATCGCTTTCTTAATGTGAGCAGTTGTCTGAAAGATATTTTATAAAAAAATTCTGTTAGCAGAGAGCTAAACGTATATTTCTTTCTCCTTTCCCATCCTCTCTTTCTCTCTCTCTCTCTCTCTCTCTCTCTCTCGCTTGTTCTCGCTCTTGTTCTCTCACTCCCTCTCTGGTTCTCTATCATGTTCTATCTCTTTCCCTTGTTCTCTCTCTCTTCTTTCCTCTCTTGTTCTCTCTCTTTTTCTCTCTCTCTAGTCCTATCTCTCCCTCTAGTTCTATCTCTATCTATCTATCTAGTTCTCTCTCTTGTTCTCTCACTTTTTCTCTCTCTTGTTCTCTCTCTTATTCTATCTCTTTCCCTAGTTCTATCCCTCTCTTGTTCTCTCTCTTATTCTATCTCTCTCCCTAGTTCTATCCCTCTCTTGTTCTCTCTCTTATTCTATCTCTCTCCCTAGTTCTATCTCTCTCTTGTTCTCTCTCTTATTCTATCTCTCTCCCTAGTTCTATCTCTCTCTTGTTCTCTCTCTTATTCTATCTCTCTCCCTAGTTCTATCTCTCTCTTGTTCTCTCTCTTATTCTATCTCTCTCCCTAGTTCTATCTCTCTCTTGTTCTCTCTCTTATTCTATCTCTCTCCTAGTTCTATCTCTCTTTTCTTCTCTCTCTTATTCTATCTCTCTCCTAGTTCTATCTCTCTCTTGTTCTCTCTTATTCTATCTCTCTCCCCTAGTTCTATCTCTCTCTTGTTCTCTCTCTTATTCTATCTCTCTCCCTAGTTCTATCTCTCTCTAGTTCTCTCTCTTGTTCTATCTCTGTCCCTGTTGTTCTCTCTTTTTTGTTCTCTGTCTTGTTCTATCTCTCTCCCTAGTTCTATCTCTCTTTCTATATATCTCTCTTGTTCTCTCTCTCTCATTATATCTCTTTTTAGTTCTCTCTCTCTCTCTCTTGTTCTCTCTCTCTCACTTGTTCTCTGTCTTTTATATCTCTCTCTAGTTCTATCTACCTCTCTCCTGTTCTCACTCTCTTTCTTGTTCTCACTCTTTCTTTCTCTCTCTCTCTCTTTCTCTCTCTCTAGCTCAAACTAGGTCGTTAGACGTTAATTTAACTGTCTGTAGAAGAAAAAGGTCAAAGGTAGATCTGTTCAAAGCGGTTAAACAGAAATTTACTGCAAAAAAATAAAAATAAAAACATGAATATCATAAAAAAAAAATTGTTGATTTCTACTTATGTGTACTCGCTAGATCACTGAAAATCTTATATAAGTACATTTTCTTTAATAAGACTTCATTGATGTAGGCCGGGAGACTTTAACTTCACAGTTTATTAAAATAAAATATAAAGAATGTCTACTCAAACATGTATATACTCTAGATATGATAATTTTTTATTAAAGTAGATTTCCCTTTTAAATATATATATAGGCCGGTAGACAAGACGTTCACGGTTTGTCAAAAAGAAAGAAAATAAAACAAAAAAACAAGGACGTCAACTCAAACATATGCAATCGTTAGTAATTTAATGGAATAACCTGTCACCCACACGAGTAACTATACTGTAGGTAGTAACTGCCTATAAGTAGCTGTAAGTCAAAGGACTACGGAGACAGCCCGAAATCTTTTTGGCTAAGCGGGTGAACTCTCCGCCGCTTTAAAAATTATAACATAAATATGTTATAAAATCACTACGAGGATGTCATCACTTGATAAGACACCGGAGGTGTTGAAACAAAATGGCTATTTTTGTAGTGATTTTATAAAATATTTATGTTATAATTTTTAGATAAATAATTATATATGATGTATTCTGTATTGAGCTCTCTTTTAAGAATAGTAATTGTTGGTTATTGGAATTTATTGCGTAAACACCAATCATATACTTGGATATATATATATATATATATATATATATATATATATATAATAAAAAAGATTTTTTCAGGTATGCTATATTTATGGGCAAAGATGCTCACTATCAGGGGTAGACCGTATGTAAATATAAAAATGGACATTAAGATCAACACCGACGCAATCTAAGGGCATCGATGGACTCTCAATATATCTCTATCTATAAAAGACAGGATGTGTGTGTGTAACGAATGCACGGCCGCAATTTTTGACGGATTTGCACCAAAAATGACATGCACATGCTCCAAGTTAGCGGGAAGGCCAAGACCGACTTTGCATTTCCCAACTCCCATCGATAGTGGAAATAATCAATTTTTTTCATGCTTCTACGCCAGTTTTCATGTAGTTTTCGGCCCATTTTCTACTGGCCAGAGTGAGAGCATATAGCTGGCTGCCACGAATAGGCAGGAAGATTCTATTGGCCAGCGTGAGAGCCAACAGCTGACTGACACGAATGTTAACTAGCATTTCTCTCTTTTTTAATTATTTTAAGTGGGAAAATTTAAATCTGCATGGCACTTTACTCCAATTTGCCCATTCGCTTGTTTAAACTCAACGTTCATTCTGATTCCGCAGAACTGGGTTGGGTGTGAAAAAGTAATTTTTGTTAACATTCTTTTTTTCATTCGGTTTTTCCTTGTGTTCATTTTGTTTAGTTCGCAACAGATTTAATGTTTAGTATAGAGCTTAGAAAAAATGTGCATTGTGAGATAGGCAAGAAGTAAGGCATGTAGCAACATCAGCACAGCAAAGGGCACTCCTTTAAAGGCAAGGAAGGGCAAAAATATTTTATGTCAAGTGATAGCGATTGCTGTATCAGTCGTACGATTTTTGAATCAAACATGGGCAATGCCGGGTCATACTGCTAGTATATATATATATATATATATATATATATATATATATATATATATATATATATCATTGAAATCGGACGACAAAGAAGATTTAATTAATCTTTTCTTGTGTTTTTCTAACGTTTTTCTGTGTTTCTGGGGTTAAGGAATATAGGAATTGTCCATAGTTATAATTGTTCCGGGCGCTTTCATCTATTTCTCTAGACCTTATTAAGTAGTGATTTTCCAAGCGTAGCTTAGATGTGGCACAAGGCCGAAAGTATGGGGCATCCAGTGAGGATCGAACTCACTACTCAGTCGTAATTGTTCTAGCGAGCCAAGCTCGCTAACCATTACACCGCTTCGAGGTACCCCAGACCTTATTAAGTATATCTCCTTTACTGAATACTGTCAGTCCGTGAGTGGGAGAATAATGTTTAATAAATGGAGCCTCCCTCATGACGAATTGTGTCCGACCATATGAGCTGAAACAGATCCTTGTATTATCAATTGGAATTTTCTTTAAACGTTCTTGGAAGTTGTGAGTTAATAAATGCTTATTAATCAAACTCTGCTGCGAGTGGCATGTAAGACGTCTATTCAGTGAGTTAGTAGTTTGTCCGATAGAGGTTATTGGTTTTTGACAACTAACAAAGTTTTGTACAAGGCATTGGAAATGGTACCGCCATGGAACGCACAAACCGCCCGAACTCCACACTGTACAACTACTATGTGACAGCTACACACGGAAGTTCACGGAAAAAAAATGTTACATTGCTGGTAAGAAGAAGAAGAAGAAGAAGAAGGGTGGATTGAAATGTACATTCCTTTTTTTATCTAGCCTCATATGCGCTTAAGATAAATTTTCTAATATGTAAGTAATGACTTAAGATTTTAAAAGGTTCCATTGGACCCAGAAATGTCATAATCGCTATTTTTTCCTGTTGGAAGAGGTTGCAAATATATATCTTGTGATTGTTGTAACGCTTTGCCTTTTTTTTAATTTTCCCCCTTACAATCCAATCTCTGTCGGGTGTTTTTCTTTTAAATTCTACTCATGGTTATCTAGTTTAGTAGAGTACGTAAGATTTCTTAGCTGAAATGACGAGCATTAGGAGGTTATTTGATAAAAATCACCTAAGGATAACGTAAAGTTGAAACCAAGGTAGCAGATTCAATTGATTTATATATATATATATATATATATATATATATATATGTGTGTGTGTGTGTGTGTGTGTGTGTGTGGGTGTGGGTGTGTCTATGTATGTGTGTCTTTGGGTGTGTGTGTCTATGTGGGTGTGTGTCTATGTGCGTGTGTGTGTGTGTGTGTGTGTTTGGGGGTATGTGTGGGTGTCAATGTGGGTGTGTGTGTGGGGGGGGGTGTCTATGTCTGTGTGGGCGTGTCTGTGTGGGGAGGTGTCTAGGTGTGTGTGTCTATGTGTGTGTGGGCGTGTCTGTGTGGGGAGGTGTCTAGGTGTGTGTGTCTATGTGTGTGTGTCAGGGAGAGATCGTTATTGTTCAAAGGAGAGAAAAGTATATATCTTAAAGGGAGAATAAGGGACAAACGTTTTCGATTACAATGTGGTTTCTCTCTTTCTCTCTCTCTCTCTCTCTCTATATATATATATATATATATATAGAGAGAGAGAGAGGGAGAGAGAGAATAAATTATATAAAAAGAATCTACATTAAAATCAAAAGCGTTTGTGGCTTCTTCTCCCTTTAATATATATATATATATATATATATATATATATAGCTGTCTATCTATCTCATTCTGGTCATCACTAAAGTAGTTGATTTAGTCATAAACAGTAGGCCTTTTAATATATATATCAAGTTATGTATCTGTCTACTTGAATATCTATCCGTATATTAATACCTATCTATATTTCTAAATCTGTTTATAACTATACATATTTTCATATAGATATCAAGCTATCTGGATCACTGGTTGGCTATCTATCTATCTATCTATCTATCTATCTATTCCAGTTCCTTCATATCTATCTATCTATCTATCTATCTATCTATCTATTCCAGTTCCTTCATATCTATCTATCTATCTCAGTCTACCAATATCCATAATTTGAAGAGCTTAACATGAGACAGGTACAATTGGAATTCATGCAAGAGATTACTCCCGCAATCATTTATTCTGTGAATAGTGACATTAACACTGTTTATTTAAGTATAAATTACACAACTGATTGACATAACAAAAGCCAAGAATTATAACTGAGAGAAATTGATAGATTGCTTCAACACAACATTGAATTGAAAATGACAATTAGTTCAATTTCTTATTTTATTCCAATTTTCGGTTTCCTATACACACTAGAGAGTGTGGAGATAGAAAGAACAAGTTAGATAGATATAAACAGAGATAGATAGATAGATAGATAGATATGAACTGACTGACATAGATAGATGTGAACAGGCTGATATAGATAGATACATAGATATGAAATAAATGTATGACTGAGTGACGAGTGAACCTCGAATTTTAATATATATATATATATATATATATATATATATAGAGAGAGAGAGAGAGAGATTTCATTGAAAAATACATCCCTACCCCCTACCAAAACGTAACTAATAACTGATACATCAAAATACACCCTTTGTCTGGTGGAAGTGGATTTAACTGTAATCCTGGAAAAACAAAATTATGATTTTAGCTGTTACTCCAAAAGGATGAAATGGAACTAATGTCTTTAATTTAATTACAAAAATTAAATTCAGAGTTTTAGCTTCCATTTTTGAAACATGGTTAGAATAGTGTAGCAAAAAAACATATTTTTAAATCAATTAATTTATATATATATATATATATATATATATATATATATATATATATATATATAATGATCAGTTCAGTTTCTTATTTGATTCGGTTTCTCTATCCATGTTAGAGAGTTTGATGAAAGGAACAAGTTAAGACTTCGGAATAGAAGAGAAAAATATTGATTCTTTCCAGAGAAAATTACTTTGTATTGCGCTCAATATCTGCTGTCTTTGCAAGATTACAATCGTAGAAATATATGACAAAATGCAAACCTTAGAGCAAAACCATTAAAAGAGGAAGATTCACTTTCCTAAGATATGTAACGAGACTAATTAAAGAAAGAACATTGAGAATATAGGACAATGATATATACCATATAATAAGTAAAGTGGTCATCCAGAAGTGTCATGGGTAAGAATAGATAAAAGCTGACCTTGGAAATATATACATGCAAGGTCAGCTCATAAACATTACAGGTCTAACATCTTTTATAGAAATCGCAGAATTTAACCAATGACTGTTATAGTTGGAATATTGCTAAGACTTTAATTTGCCTAAGAGAATGTGCAGACAAAGTATATTATTTGTATATAAAAAAAGCAAAAATATCTACAAAAGGTTTGCTTATTTCAATATTCCTATATATTCATGCGTATTTAAGTTTTTTATATAGAATATGAAATGAAGCAAGCTTTTCATATCGGAATACGAAAACAAGATTCTTTCTATATATTTATGTCTTTTATATAGAAATATGAAAACCATCTGTTTCTACATATTCATGCTTCTTATATAAGCAAATCTGTTAAAAGGCCGAAAAAATACCCTATCAAAAAACGGACGTATATCAAAAAGTGCTCGATGCAGATGCCTTGAAAAAGAACACGCAGGGCAAGTAAATCTAATAAAGTAGTAAAAACGCTTTAGGTAACCGAACACAACCCTCAAGTGGCGGGCAATAAATGTTAGTAATACCATAATGCAACTATGGCACCGGAAGTAGAGAAGTGGAGGATGTGTAAAAAAACATTTTTTTTTTTCTGGACCGAGAATGTTTTTACTTATATGTCTACACCTGGACATTATTTCAGTTCTTCTATTTAACAACATACTGAGGTTCTCATAATAGAGGTCATTTTTTTAAAAAAAAATAAGGATGACGTAAAGTTGAAACCAAGGTAGCGGATTCAACTCAACTGATATTTATATATATATATATATATATATATATATATATATATATATATATATATATATATATGTGTGTGTGTGTGTGTGTGTGTGTGTGTGTGTGTGTGTGTAGGGATAGATCGTAATTGTTTAAAGGAGAGAAAAGTGTATATCTTAAAAGGAGAAGAAGGCGCAAACGTTTTCGATTATAATGTGGACGTTTTTAACTGAAATAATGTCCAGAAGTGTTTATCAAACATTGGATTGTTATTGTATTTTATTTGTATGATAATCAAGGAGAATGTCTGAAGTAAATTTATAATATTAGGTTACATTATCTGCTAATGTTGGGAGCTGACATTTTTTCTTTAATTTAAACCAAACTAATTTCTTTTTAGAATTGTTACCCTTGCCACTGCATTTGTTTGTTTTTGTTTTTTGTTTTTTTGAGGGTACAAAAACAATGAACATGATGTATTTAAAATTGTTATAATTTCTTTGTATTGTGCGCATAGATTTTAATTTTTGGCCACTAATAAAATAATGAATGAGTAATATTTTGATGTAATGCATTATGCAATTTTTATGTGACGTCGTCCCCTTGTCGCAGCGCCAACTGTGACGTTCTATTCTGGTCTACCACGCCACCAACTGTGACGTCCCTAAACAGCACCAATTGTGACGTCCTCGCCGCGGCGCCAGCTGTTCGCTCCTCGCTGCTCCGTTCGGGTGTCGCTGCTCCAAACGTGACGTCCGCCTGTCGCGTCAGTCGTGTTGTCTCGTCCTGTGACGACCAACTGGCTTGGTATCGGTCGCGGCACCCAAATGTGACGTTCTAACCTTTTGGTGATTCGGGTGGGATCTGGTTAGATTTGATATCAGCCTCGTCGTTCCCAACTCGCTTCCAACGCCTGGTTACCAAAGGTAACTGCATTGATCCCCAGTCTGCCTACCCACGTTGTGAATTGATCTTAGGCAGACGAGATCAAACAGTGGTTGGGGCCGTAATGCAAACCTAGTTCAACGGGGGTGATACCACACAAATATGCATAAAAAGAAAATAAAATGAAAACTCAAAAAGTTCAAAGTATCAAAGAAAAAGGTAACAAACTTTATGTCTAGTTGTTCGATACATAGGACTGCATCTATCTCCCGACCCGTTCTATGGATTGTGACACGTCGTTTTCCGTTAGGCAAGTTTTAACGCTTCAAGTTGTTTGCTCTCTAAGAAATTGGTGTTTCGGTGTGTCTTTGGACGAAAGTCGAAAAAAAAAAAATATTTTGGTGGTCTGGATCTAAGTCGCTCTTCAAAATAATTGTTCTTGGGTTGAAGAGGAGTCCGGAATTTGCGTGAATCTTGGTCAGCTATCTGCGAGGCGGCTTCAACTGGAGACTGACTCTTCGCTGCAACTCCAACTCAAACTAAAATTGGAACTGGAACTGATTTCTGCTCGTTGTGGCTTCGCTTATACGGACGCCGACTAAAACCGGGGTGGGTCTGTCGGCGTCGGGGTTTCCTCGATAATTCTAAATACATATCCACCTCTCTGATTAGGAATTTCCACTTTTTTCCATTTTGGGGAATCTTTCCTCAATTTCACCTTCTCACCATACTTCAGAGGGCGTGAACTGCCCTCCCCACTTCTTCGTAGCGGCTTCTCATACCTACAATCTGGATGGGCGGCGACAGCCTCCTTCGTGCGTCACGTGATCACCACTTGACCAATGATGTCTTAGTCGGGCGTGGACGAATCCGCGGCTTTGTTTCAGGAAAAAAAAAATATCTTGCTTAACTAAAAAAAAATTATCTCTTCTTTTCCTTTTCTTCCTCTTAATCGCCGTTATCATTTCTCTAGCCGCAAACGGGACAATATGAACAATGGCGGTCATAACTCTTGTTCTACACGTGGTTTTCGTCAGGTATTTTATCGCTAATTATCCGAATGGGTGGTCTTCTTAACACGGCCAACGTCGCCCCGAAAAGACATTTCTAAATTCCCATTCATTTCCCTTCGGTACATATTTCTGATAACATAATTTTATTATCGCAGGCCAAGGATGTTCCGTCGAAGGAAATCGGTCAGCGGACACTCGTGGGTGGCTTTTAATTTTTTTCATATCTGTCCAAAGTCCTTTTAGTTGCCTGTTTTTCGTCACTTATCGAAATAACATTTTCATTTGAATTTTTCTTTGGCCAGTCGGTCTGTAGTTGATAATAAGATGCCTTCCCGTACCAATAGTTTGTTTTCATATCCTTAGATAACACAGCCGTCGCCAAAACATATCTGATTCTTTCTTTCTTTCCCTTTCTTTTTACTCAGAATTTCCCTGTCATTGTAATGACACCCTTTCGCCATTTGTTACTTATCAAAATATCCCTTATCCATTGTCTCTTAGCCGTGTGTGTGTTCTGCTTATCATCCACGATTCGGTCCTTAGCCTCTCCTTTTCTTCTTTTCTTTATTTTCTTTTTCTGCCTCGTTAAATGGTGCCACACAATGCGTTACGTTTTGCATGCATGTTTTTGACGTTGAAAACACATAATTGAAATGCGAAATAAAAAACAAATATATTTTTAAAAAATACATAAATAATTCAGCGTACTATTTATTAGTCCTCGCATAGAGCTGGGGGTGTAATAAGAAGCAAAATTGCTAAAAAAGAAAAAGCTTTCATTTCGTAAAAAAAGGGGCGTGTTTCCCAGTATTTACATACGAGAAGACATTAGCATTTGTTTGCTCTTTCTTTTACCTGACACATATTTATTTCTCTCGTTGACGAATAAAGTTATTATTTCGTCGTTTATAAATAGACAAAATAATTCACCTTCAGAAAGGCTATCAGGTATATCGATGGTTGCCAGTAGCTTCCATAAAATTACTCAGGCATGGATAATAGTAGCCGCTTTCCTCCATGCCACTAGCGTGGTTATCATCTCCAACCACTTCCCTGTCAATATCCAGTCGATTAATGCCTTCAAAATCATCATCGGAGTCCTAATTAAAGAAAAAAAACCCTGAATAAAGCCTTTGTTGGATATTTACGTGGACATTTTTGTTTACCAAAAATCGCGAAAAAATTAACGTGGGTTAACGTAACCGATGTTACACTTCGTTTAGAGTCAAGAAGCATTCAAAATGGCGTTGGAAAACGAAAATTTAGCCTTGTTGCAAAGCAGTAGTAGGCGATTTCCAGCTTAAAATACAGAAAATAACAGTTGACAAGTGTTTATTTATAGCAACCGTTTCAGGCGACACAAGTTGCCGATAGTAGTAAGGGACAGAATTCTATGGCAACTATTGTCGCCTATGGTGTGGTAAAGGTTAAGTAGAATATAAGATAGTGCTGGACTGATACGAGTGTTGCTACAAAACTAATATCTCGTGTTTGTTTCCATGGAAACTGCAACCGGTGCAGCGAGCTCGATAACACCGTTCACTAGAACGATTTTTCAGCTACAGCAAAAAAGAAAACATTTTTTCCAGATAGTAACGTAATAGGGACGTGGCTCTGATTGAGTCATATTACTACATGAAATATTGTTTGGTGATTTGAGAGTCTTAGTAATTCGCAGATAATGTGCAGAGATATTAGATGGATCAAATATGGGAGTGTGGTTAATCAGCTCGGGAACTGATAAAAAAAAAGTTCGGTTTAGAAGATTTGAACTTAAACTGAGATTCAGTAAAATCCAGTATAACTGAAATTCCCTGCTTAGTCCCACAGCCCTTAAGAAGTCGTGATAACTTGATTAACGGTGGTTGCCAAAATTCTTAAAAACCCAGACGGAATAATGTAAATGTTATTTTAGAAATCACATTTGTCAAACTTACGTAGAAAGCCTACCAAAATGACTGGTATTGAGTACTTTAGAAGCATTGGTCACATGCAATGCTAATATGATTTTTTTTTTTTTTGTTTAACAAAGAGGGTCTTTGTGCGGACGCCTAAATAATCAAAGTCTCACGTTCGGACCGTTATCCATGCGAGCAAGCGCGCAAACACACAGCACTTTACTCAGTTCGGCATTTTAAACATTAGATGTCTCTCAATTCCACAAGAGAATAAAAGAACTTGCTAAAGTCGAACCGCATGAGTGTGATGGTTGCAACTTTTATATTTTCTCATCATTAATAAATTGTTGATAGCTTTATCAACAGAGTTTGTTCCATCTGTTACCGCCTTTCAGGAAGGTTGCCCGAATTGAGAATGTCGCTAGGATCTAAGCATCGCCTGACCACATAAAAGAATTGGGCTGCTGTAATAAGGAAAAAAAAGATACGCCACATAATTCATCCTTGCAGGTTCACAACATAAGTAAACATTTCTACTGTACGACACAGGTCCGCTGAGGGAGAAGAACAGCGGAAATAGCCACGCCCAATTTATGCATTTTTCACTGAACATGTAATTTTTTAATCATTTCAGCCCAAGCAAGGCCACGAAGGGGCCGTGTGTTGCTCTAGCTGATATGCTGGTTAAATAAAAGTAGTTTTGTTTTTGGACGAGTTCAAAATTACAATCTGTTATGGTCCGGTTCCTTGTACCACGATGATAGTCCAAGGTAGAACCAATAAAGAAGAACTCGAATACGGATATGGAATAACACAGATATATTACAAACAGGAATATATACAGAGTGTTAGTACGAACAATCTGGTTTAGTAGTAATTGTCTGAACGCGACTCTGTTTCGGACTGCCTCTGACTCGACTGACTGACTCGCTCGCTCTGACTGACTGACGGGCTTCACTCCAGGCTTCAGACTGAACTCCCTGCTTCCTATTGAGGCGCAGTATTTATTACGTATGGAATAGTCCATTATGTTATTATGGGTAAGGTCCCATAACACAATTCATTCCCTGCTCTAGTTAGCCACCGATTGGAGGTCCTGTTCAAGAACAGCTGTCAGCTTTACTTTATCCGATTTGACGTATTTACTATTGAGACAGGATTAATTGTAGCGTCATCTGCATAAATAATCGGAGAGATCATTGATGAAACAGCGTAGATCCCAGGATAGATCCTTGGGAGACTCCTAGGTTCCTGTGAAAGAATCTGAAAGCGATCCCTTCAAAATAACCTTCATTTCACGATTTGATAGGAATCAAACATTTCTCCTGTGGCACTGGATCCCTGAAGCGGGAAATCGTGATTACCGGCAAAATTTGCATTAATCATACGGTGAATGGAATTACTGATTATATCACGTTTAATTGACATTGGTTTCGTAACGACACAATAATGGACCATGGCATTTGGTACAGTGACCACCACACCGAATTACAGTTTCCACTACGGGTATGATTTCTTTTTTTATATTTATTTTTTAGTCAGTGATAAGTAAGAGCCGCAGGTCACGTTCGTAAAAAGACTGCCCCAGAGGAAGCCTTCCACATTTATTTTCGCATCGTTAACAGGATAATGTTTTCCGCTGCATAATTCATCATACATCGGCTTGAACGGATGGAAGTCAAAAGGCGCCAAATCCGGGTTATGTGGGTCGGTGTAGTCCCGCCATAATTTGAAACGGAAGCCCTGACCTGAATTTAGTAATTTCTGCCATTGTAACGGTTAGAGTTGATGATTTGTCCAGTTTACAGTAAATCCAGGAAAGTGCACGGCACATTGTCCCGTTGATGTCTTGAACGCTTTCTTTGATAGAGAATTGGTATGCAAGCAATGCATGCACTGTCGCTTTCATTATCCTAGTGAGGACAAAAAATGTGTGGATAACGGACGAAATGCGCAAATGAAAAAGAGACGGCAGATGATAAGCAGCAATAGCAGAGAATATCTTACGTTAAAGAAAGACATTAGAAATAAATGCTAGCAGGCAAAAGATGAATGACTCAACGAGACATGTGAAGAGACGATAAAACTAAATAAGTTGCACATAAGAAACATGGATAAAAGAAATATGACAGAAAGGTGTTCTTAGAACAGAATGCCTAATTTTAAAAAGAAAATGCATATAGCAGAAAAATAACAGATACTACAGGGAACAAAAAGGTTTTTACATGACAACATAGAAGCGAAACCTATAAGGTATGAAAAGACTTGTAGTATTAAAATCCTAACTAAGATCGCCCCAGGTCAAGATGAACAGAAAACAAAAAAATAGGATACGATTGGATTCTCACAGAGACACCGTCTGTTTTAAATCATTTCGGCTAAAAAAAACTTACGGAAATAAAAATTAAAAATATCCGACAGCGGTGAAATACTGGAAGATCTCAGTAGATCCATCCACATGGCGATGCCAAATAAAGCCGTTTCAAATGCGGCCTCCATCGAACAATTACTTTAATGATCCACATAGCTAAAATTATCATTAGTAATGTAACGAACGGAGCTCGTAGCGGACATATCATTTCACCCCAAGCGAGGCGGGAATGCCACTAGTACGCAGGGGATTATAGAGAGCGGAAATGAGAGAAAAGATTGGGTATAGGGTTATTGAGGAAAGGATGAAAGATAAACAGGATTTAAGAAGATAGAATATTGACGTAGAATTTAAATTTTTGTTGATTCTAGTAATCTGGGAAGCAAGTAAACGGAAAGGAGTTCCTCAGAGAAGAAGTGGAAGAAAAGAAATTGTTGGAACAGAAGTGATGGTTGCATTTACCTATTTCAAAGTAAACGGGTGGGGATTAGATGCCAATCAGTTGGCATATTTATATTTATCAGACAAGAAATAGTGCGAGAGCAGTGTAGCGTTGAGCAAGATACTGGAACAAGAAATGCTATTTTTATTATCCGAATGCTAGCAGAGCGAACAATACAACTTCAGAAAGAGCTATACCCATGTATCGTAGATTAGACAAAAGAATTTAATGATGTACAACACAAAGACCTATTTGAAATACTATGAAAGCTCAGTTTAGATGGAGAATATATTCGAATGATCTGTCACATGTACTGGGAACAAACAGCCTGCATCCAAACAGAGAATGAGTTCAGTGAGTACGCAAAAATAGTAAGAGGAGTACGACAAAAATGGCTTTTTTCTCATCGGATTTATAGAGAAACGCTCGCAACAGAAGATCAGCCATGATCTATTGTCAACAGATGTAATGTAATCTTAGCAGCATTAAAAACGTGAATGACACTTTGTTAATGGCAGACTTAGAAAGCAAACTGATAAGATATTAAAAGGAAGTAAGAAGAAAAGATTAACTATTCACTTCTAGAAGACAGATTGCATCGCTGTTAACAAAAATGTCAGCTCAATATGCGAGCTAATGTTTCGGGGATACCAGAAATTAAGCAGGTGCTGTCTCGGAAGTGCATCCACAAAAGAAAGGTGATACGGAAATTAGGATGAACATCTGAATAGAAAAAAAACAATCCCCTCGAAAAACAGCAACATGGTGACGCTTTGCGCCAACATAATACAATACAACGGCTTACTTTTATCATAAATCAGTAATACCGACACCGAGGTCCGAGCGTGACACTCTGGACTTATACATGTGTTTTCCACCAGGTATATAAATAGCGGTGTCAGGCTACTGACAGCAGTGATTATTGAGTGACTATTGAGTGGAAATATCCAGTCGAATTAGTGTGCATTATTGTGCGTCGGTGATTTGTGTTTTGACTTAGGATGTACCGGAAGTTAAGCCGAGCCGCGCTACTAACAAGGTATTCACTGAAATGGTTAACTATCTTTAGTTGACTTTTACTTCTTTGTTCTTGTTAAGTATTTATTTGCGGTTGTAATTAAAATAATGGTGCAAAATAATGACGTAATAATAATGTCGTTTTTGACGATTTTTTTTAACGTCAAAAACGACATTATTACGTCATTATTTTTGCACCAACCTAATAAATACTGTTTTATTTTAACATTGAAGTCTTGAATTATACTAAATCATTAACGGCCACTGTACGTCACAAAAACTTTTCAGTGACCTTCGTAAATAGATAGATAGATAGATAGATAGATAGATAGATAGATAGATAGATATAGCCTGTGATAGATAGATAGATAGATAGATAGATAGATAGATTTAGACGAAATGATAGATAGATAGATAGATAGATAGATAGATAGATAGATAGATAGATAGATAGATAGATTTGTTTGTTTTTGATTGAGTCGACTGCACATTATAGTAAGGTCAATTGGGCACCGTCTGCGAGAAAAAGTGCACCATGATGCAATTTACTCCGCCAGAAATTTGGAAACATGTTATACTGCTTGGCATTCGGACCGGAAGCACCATTATAAACATTTAAGAGCGTTTGGGCTTCAATCTGATGACAGTGCAGAGGATTCGGCAAGAGTTGGATGAATATAATGGTGATTACGAAGATGTTTGGATTGACTACTAGTGATGACGACGCTATGCTTCCATTCTGTTTGCCTCAGGGTTCTTGATAGGCTCCAGAGGCGGATATGCAATATAATTGGCCTTGATCTGGCATCTCGTCTACAGTCACTTTCTCACAAACGCGTCATCGCCTCCCTCTGTCTGTTCTACAAATACTTTCATGGAAATTGCTCCGAGGAGCTGCATTCGATGGTTCCCAGACGTCATGAGTTCCAGCGCCTTACGAGGCTGGCATCCCGCTCTCACCCCTTCACTGTCGAAACTCCTAAATGTAGCCGTCTCTTCTACTCTAATAGCTCCATGTCTCGCACCTCTCGCCTGTGGAACTCCCTTCCCTTTTCCTGTTTCCCTGAGAGCTATAATCTCCAGCTATTCAAGTGTAATGTCAATCGACATATCCGGTTGCCTTGATCTATCCACTACCCTCATCCTTTCTTCTATCACTTCTATCTGATCTTGCTCTAAATTTTCTGTAACCCCTTGAGTCCTAGTGGCTTCCCGCCTTGCTTGGGGTGAAATGCTTAAAAAAAAAATTCATCTTCCCACAGGGTCCCAGACACAACGCGGAGGCCGACATCAAGTGCCCTGAGGCTGTAGTGCTGTCCTGGGTCAAGAGGGTGGCAACTGGAAGACCCTATGTCAGGCAACAGGAATAACACAAGCTGGAGAATCCAGTAATCTCTATCAGACAATTTTTGCGACCATATCACTCCTTACATCTGGTCACCTAACTCACCAAACAGCAACCCCGATTGAGCAAGAAACGAATAAAACTCTCTAACACCAAAGAAGAAACTGAAGACAGGGATTATGGCGGCATTCAACAACTTAAACAGGAAGACTGTCCAGAAGAGGTGAAGGAGATTCCGAAGTCATATGGAATCTGTGGTTGAAGCCAATGGCGATTTTAGTGAACAGATTTACACTTTAGTATTGCAAGATATTAAAGTTGGTAAATATATCTGTTAAAATGAGCTGTCAGTGCTATTTTCATTTTTATGTAATTTAAATGACAATTTATCTATCGCACCCTGTAGATAGTTAATGAACATAGATAGATAGATAGATAGATAGATATGGACAGACTAATAGAGAAAAAGAGAGAGAAAAGCTGTGATAGAAAGTGAGATAGAATGAGAAATAAATAAAGGGGAAAGAGAGAAGGAGAAAGTATTTTTCAACCCTCTCTTAGATAGATGTGGACAGACTGAAACAGAGAGAGAGGGGGGAGAGAGAGTATATGTGTGTGCGACACAAAGAAAGAGAGAAAAAAATAAAGATATGGGAGAGGAGGGAAGAGAAATACAAAATACTTTTCAATGCCTCTCGCAGATAGATAGATAGATAGATAGATAGATAGATAGATAGATAGATAGATAGATAGATAGATATGAACAGACTGATAGATTGATTTTGTTAAACTTAGATTTATCTTAAATAAATAATATATATATATATATATATATATATATATATATATATATATATATATATATATATATATACATTATACATATATTCGTGATAGAATATATATAACAATAAGGATTACAAATTTCTACCTGTTACATATACACAGTCACCAAAAACAAACAAATAACCAGCTTAAAATATAACAAATAAACCCCAATTTTTTTCAAAAATTTAAAAATAAAAATAAATTATAATTTTACCTATCATAATTTTAAACAAACCCCACCACACGTATATACATACATGCGAAGAAATATTTTTCAGCGAAAAAAACAATACATAATATGACATGTATACATTCACGAGACACTAACGTGACATTTCCGCCACACTTCCAATGTTTAAATTTCAACATTTCAACATACAAATGCGTATGTATAGACATAACACCACCCATATACATACATGTGTCATAGCCGAAACTGCTCACATATGTTTATATATGTATGAGTCCCGACGGACGACCAAGTATGTATATGTGTCTGCATACATCGATGTTTGTGTTAGTACGATGAATGACAAAACGACGAAGTTTCCCCCACCACTTCCACAATAACACCAATACACGCAATCTACATAAACCCAAATTTTTAAAACATTAATCAGTTTGTCTGACGATCGCTAAAGCGTGAAACCCAGGGTCACAAACTCACATCTATCCAACCAAATATATATATATATATATATATATATATATATATATATATATATATATATATATATAATATATATATATATATATATATATAATGCCGTTGACCATTATAGACCGATTTATGTTGTTCATATTAATAATAATCGATAAATTGTACCTCATGGTACCTTACTTCATATGTGAAAAGCTTTTATCGAAAATTGTTATGGAAAAAACGTCATTCAAGAAAAATCGTTATTTAAAAAAAGTGTCACGAGACAAAATAAGTATATGACAATAGATAAAATAAAACGTGTATACAATATTGGTTTCGTGATAGAATAGAACATTGAACTCTTGGCAATAATCGTTCTTTGAAATAATTAAAATAAAATGTTGAAAACCTTTATCAACTCTATAACTTCAATACACTGCTCGCCCACAGAGAATAAAAAGTTTCTTGTAAAAATATGGTGTTTGTTTTTTTTTTGTTTTTTTTTTTTCTTCTTTTTCTTTTTATATAACTTCGTTTCTCAGAAATCGGTTCCAGGACTTTTTTCCCCCCTAAACTTGGAAATATAAATTAACTTGCACGGTAATTTCTTCCAAAAAAGAAAACAAAACAAAAAACTTTCACTCGTTTTAGCAATGTTCCACCGAATTCAATTTTCTAAGTTATTAGATGTTTATAGGGAAAGACTTGCAACTTGCAAAATTTGCTTGATTCTTTAAGTCACAATGTTTCGGCTTCATGCACTACTAGACAATGGCTACAAATACGTATTAAAAAAACAGCAAAATATCGTTAGAAGCAAAAAAAAATCACTACTGGACTGTTATGTAATATCAGTACTTCTATATGTCAGTGAATGCTACATGAATAATCACAGATGAAGAAGCAACTTGAACAGAACAGAAATCCCGTTCTCTAAAAAGATATTGAGAATACCATGGACCGATCATATGAGCAACGACATAATTCTAGAGACAATGGCTACAAAAAAGAACATGTATACTTCATTGGAGGCACGGTAGCATAATGGATAGCGGCTCGGATTGAGGAATCGAAGAGCCGTGTTCGAATTCCAGTCGATACATTGGGAAAAGATGTGAATCCTCTTCTTCTTAAAGCTATGGGTAAATAGCAGGACAGACTTGGATGGCAACTGGTCAACCGCAGAAAGAAATGGCAACCTCCTGCGGGGAAAAAAATCTGCCTCGTCAGTCATATATCGAAAGATACATGATCGCATAAGCGTGGATCACGCATGGCACATAACTGACTAAAATTCACTTACGTGCTAATACCCTTGCGGAAGGTATGAATCCTCTTCTTCTCCACCCCTCCAGCTATGGGTAAAGAGCAGTACAGATCGGGTTCTATAGACTTGGATGGCAACGGGTCTAACGCAGAAAGAAATGGCAACCTACTGCGGGAAAAAAATCTACCTCGTGCGTTATGTATCGAAAACGGGAAAAATCTGCCTCGTCAGTCATGCATCGAAATAGTATATAACTGATTGATACTTAAGAGTCAGTTAACATTTCTGGAGCATATAATTAATTTTTTACGTCTGACCAACCTTTGCAAGTTATTTAAAGGCAGAAAATATTTTTTAGAATGAAAGAATTTTTTTGACGGGGTGGGGGGGTCGCCTGCGACATTTTGTCGCAAAATGACTGAGCGTCACAAGCCAATCGTTGCAAAGCCTTCTATCCACATTTCTACTCTGTAGGTGTTGAACAAGCACACATGTTACTGAGCTTTATATGAGCCACTTGAGTTCTGGTGTGAATAGACGTCCTAGCCAAGGGTTATTATTAGAATAAATGAAAGGGGTGACGTTTTTGCTTAACCAACCAAATACGTATTATCAAGGTTTCCATAAATATCAAGTATTCAAATAATTTTCAATCAAGTTTCGCATTAAAATGATTTTCAATGAATTCTCGCTTGCGCCTGTAGCATTTGCTGTGCCACTGTATGGTATAATTAAAGTAAATTAAAGTTTTGACGTATTTGCTTAATAAATCCAGTCCATGGTATCTAATGATTTCTCTAGTAAAATAATTTGAAATGCATTTCTCTAGTAAAATAATTTGAAATGAATATCTCTAGTAAAATAATTTCTCTAGTAAAATAAGTTACAGTGCATTTCTCTAGTAAAATAATTGAAATGCATTTCTCTAGTAAAATAATTTGATATGCATTTCTCTAGTAAAATAATTTCATCTACAAAAATAAGTTACTGTGCATTTCTCTACTAAAATAATTTGAAATGCCTTTCTCTAGTAAAATAATTTCATCTAGTAAAATATGTTACTGTGCATTTCTCTGCTAAAATAATTTGAAATGCATTTCTCTAATAAAATAATTATCTCTAGTCAATAAGATGAGGTGCATTTCTCTACTAAAATAATTTGAAATGCATTTCTCTAGTAAAATAGTTCGAAAATGGCTTTCTCTAGTAAAACCATTTAAATTGCAATTCTCTCGTAAAATAATTTAAAATCCGTTTCTCTAGTAAAATAATTTGCAATCCATTTCTTCGGTAAAATCATTTGTAATGCATTTAAGTAGTAAAATAAGTTTCCATGCATTTCGCTACTAAAATAACTTGCAAGGCATTACGCTAGTAAAATAATTTTAAATGTATTTTCTAGTAAAATTATTTAAAATGCACATCTATAGTAAAATATTAGTCAATGCACTTCTCTAGTAAAATAATTTGCAATCCATTTCTCTAGTAAAATCATTTGAAAAGCATTCCTCTAGTAAAATTATTCTAAATATATTTTCTAGTAAAATGATTTAAAATGTACATCTCTATTAAAATAATTTGAAATGAATTTTTTAGTAAAATAATTCAAAATGCATTTCTCGAGTAAAATCATTTAAAATGCATTTCTCTAGTAAAATAATTTGCAAACATTTCTCTACTAAAATTATTTGAAAAGCATTCCTCTAGTAAAATAATTCTAAATGTGTTTTCTAGTAAAATTATTTAAAATTCAAACCTCAAGTAAAGTATTATTCAATGCATTTCTCTAGTAAAATATTTGCCAATGCATTTCCCTAGTAAAATAATTTGCCATTCAGTCCTCTAGTAAATTCATTTGAAAAGCATTCCTCTAGTAAAATAATTCTAAATGTATTTTCTAGTTAAATAATCAACATTCACATCTCAAGTAAAATATTATTCAATGCATTTCTCTAGTAAAATATTTATCAATGCATTTCGCTAATAAAATAATTTGCAATCCATTTCTCTAGTAAAACCATTTGAAAAGCATTCCTCTAGTAAAATAATTCTAAATGTATTTTCTAGTTAAATAATCAACATTCACATCTCAAGTAAAATATTAGTCAATGCATTTCTCTCGTAAAATATTTATCAATGCATTTCGCTAATAAAATAATTTGCAATCCATTCCTCTAGTAAAACCATTTGAAAAGCATTCCTCTAGTAAAATAATTCTAAATGTATTTTCTAGTTAAATAATCAACATTCACATCTCAAGTAAAGTATTATTCAATGCATTTCTCTAGTAAAATATTTATCAATGCATTTCGCTAATAAAATAATTTGCAATCCATTTCTCTAGTAAAACCATTTGAAAAGCATTCCTAGTAAAAAATTCTAAATGTATTTTCTAGTTAAAAATCAACATTCACATCTCAAGTAAAATATTATTCAATGCATTTCTCTAAAAATATTTATTGCATTTCTAGTAATAAAATAATTTGCAATCCATTCCTCTAGTAAAACATTTGAAAAGCATTCCTCTAGTAAAAATAATTCTAAATGTATTTTCTAGTTAAATAATCAACATTCACATCTCAAGTAAAATATTTATCAATGCATTTCTCTAGTAAAATATTTATCAATGCATTTCGCTAATAAAATAATTTGCAATCCATTCCTCTAGTAAAACTATTTGAAAAGCATTCCTCTAGTAAAATAATTCTAAATGTATTTTCTAGTTAAATAATCAACATTCACATCTCAAGTAAAATATTAGTCAATGCATTTCTCTAGTAAAATATTTATCAATGCATTTCGCTAATAAAATAATTTGCAATCCATTCCTCTAGTAAAACTATTTGAAAAGCATTCCTCTAGTAAAATAATTCTAAATGTATTTTCTAGTTAAATAATCAACATTCACATCTCAAGTAAAATATTAGTCAATGCATTTCTCTAGTAAAATATTTATCAATGCATTTTTAAAAAATAATTTTTGCAATCCATTCCTCTAGTAAAACTATTTGAAAAGCATTCCTCTAGTAAAATAATTCTAAATGTATTTTCTACTAAAATTTTTTTAAAATGCACACCTCTATTAAAATAATTTGAAATGAATTTTTTTAGTAAAATAATTTAAAATGCATTTCACAAATAAAATCATTTAAAATGCATTTCTCTAGTAAAATAATTTGCAGTGCATTACTATAAATGACTATATATGTTTTTCATAATTTCTGTATTACTATATATGTAATAATTACAGTTTAATATTTTCTGTTCGTGTTTAATAGACAACTAGTAACACATAATTATTGATTTTTCTGTAAATTCGTCGCAGCATCACTGACATTACCGAATCGAAATCGAACGTGAAATGACACACGTTGATCTAATTTTCTGATGAAATGAAAAGGCTTGACCCTTACACAGAACTGTTGCAATGGTAGGAATCCTAATTTTAGTTTTGCAAACATTAATGAACGCTTGGTCGTTATAATATGTCCGCTGTTCTGAGAAGATTTACACTTTGTAAGGTTTCCTCTGGCAGCGTCGTGAACTTCTGTTAACGAAGATAACCCACTGCCAGGCAGAAGAAGCCAAACAGATTACGGATCGAAAGAGCTAGTTAGAAACCTTTTCGAAATACTCGCTTCAAAAGTCAGCATAGCCGCGATATGCAGATAATCCACGAAGATTATACTAGAATCAATTTATGCCTTCAGTTTGATCGGAAGTCCGGAACAAGGAAGCGCCATTTCCGGATAATTTTCAGAAAATTTCGCTTCGATCTATTGCCCTTTCTTAACAGAGGAACTTTCATTAAGTTTGATTTTATAAAGTATTATTTAAAGAAATAACACATCATAAGCTCTGAAGATGTGTTGAATTCAAAACTGTTATTTAATTTTAGAGTTTTTCAAGCCAAAAAGGAACAAGTTAATCAAAAACCGTCACCATTATTTTCAGTTAAGCACCATGCGTGATGTACACTTGGGCGTTCATGTCTCTTTCGATTTATAACTGACGAGGCAGAGGTTTTCCCGCAGTAGGTTACCATCTCTTTCTGTATTACACTGGTGGCCAACCAAGGCTATTGAACC